CCCCAGTAGACCAGGCTTTTGTTGCGGGATGCCTCGGGTAGAGCACCTGGGGTGCTGCCGGGTTGGTCCTGTGGGAACCTACTGGGCAGCGCCCCAGCTGTTCTGTCCCAGGCTCCAGATTCAGCAGCTGTTGAAACTGATCAGGCTGATTCTAGGAAGCTGGGGGCAGAGCAACTCTGTCTCCGGCTTCCTGTAGTCAGCCCCTGGTCAGTTTCAGTGGCAGCAGCTGAATCTGGAGCCAGTTCCGACTTACATACAAATTCAACTTAAGAACAAACCTGTAGTCCCTATCTTGTACTTAACCCGGGGACTGCCTGTACTGCCATCTTCACTTCTGCACTGCTGCTGGTAGGGCGCTGCCTTCAGAGCTGGGCACCCATCCAACAACCATTACTCTGTGGCTGCAGTTCTGGAGGCGGGGTGGAAGTAAGGGTGTCAATAATATGACTCCCTACAACTCCAGTTTGGGTCAGAACCCCCAATTTTAGAAACACTGGTCTCTCCTATGAAATCTGCATAGCATAGGGTGAAAGCACACAAAAGACCAGAGTTCACAGAAGGAGACGGACTTCACTCTCCATGACATTTTTTTCACATCTGTGAATTTGGTAGGGTGCTAATAATCATACATGCTGGAGTTAATTTAAATATAATACATTGCTTTGTATTTATTTACCTCTGTTGCATCTGATCCTTTTTTATCTCCAGGTTTAGAAGATGCTCCACTTTTCTTGTCACCATGCTGTATAAATTAAAAAAATTATTAAGATCTTCTATGTAAAGAGATCTCAAATGCCTTACAGACAGTACATGTCAGACCACATCATTCATTATAACTGAGATCTCCATAGAGTGAAGCACAACAAATATTCTTCATGATCAGTAGACAACCAAAAGTTTTGGGGAGACATGAATCATAACTTCAAATGAAGTCACAGGCAGAATTTAGGTAGAATAACTATTTTTAGTGGTGGAATCTGGCCAAAACAGCAGACTTAACATATAGGTTTCTTGTGAAGAGATGTAAGATGTTCAAATACCTGTTTACCCGTCCTTCTCCAGCATCTCAGTGTCCTTAAAGCAATACTGAACTACAGACCAAAATAGAATTAAGTCCTGATTTAACTCCCACTGACTTCAGTAGACGTTGGATAAAGCGCTTAAAGAGAGAAGCACTACCTAATGTATCATGAACAGTACTTCTATTAAAAAAAAAAAAAAAAAAAACCCATAAACCATAGGTGTTAAGCTTTCCACCAGGACCAGAATTATACTGTTGGTATATGAGAAACAATCCCTGTCATGGTTTAGAGCTAGCTATACGTTTGACCTCTCTTGCTCTCTATCCCCCTCAGGAGTTAAGCCTCTTGTCATCAGCTGGCCTGGGGTGGAATGCTATGATTCTTCCACACTTAGATGATCCCATGAACACCCCTAATGAATCAAACATGATTATTCAGCAGGCCTGAGGGAGTTCATGCCATGCAAGTCTTCCCTTTGGAAGTTCTGATCAGTGGTGAACAACAACATAAACAGCCTTTGCAAAACAAAATAGTGTTTAATCACAACAATAGGAATAAAACATAACAAGAGAAAAGGGGGTCTAACATAAGAAAGAGGGCCACATACATTTCCATTACATAAAGATTGGGCAGGCTTATCTTGTCCCACCCTCTGTTTTGGTTGAATGGATCTACATAAAGCGTCTGTACTGAGGGTAGGGCAAATTCATACACCCCTGTACAGGCAGTCCCAGAGTTATGCGGATCCAACTTATGTACGAACCGCACTTACGAACGGGGCTTTTCTCGCCCCGGAGGATGCGGCCGGCGGGACCGCCCAGACGCACCGAGGTCCCGCCACCCTCGTCCTCCGGGGCGAGCAAAGCTGCTCCGTGTCTCCCTGGTCTGCTGGGGGGAGGGGAGCGGGCAGCAGACCAGGGAGACGCGGAGCAAAGCCATGGAGGACCCGGGCGGCGGGAGCGCCCAGATGCGCCGTGGTCCCGCCCGGGTCCTCGGCGGCTTTGCTCCGCGTCTCCCTGGTGGAAGCCGGAGGCAGAGTTTCTCTGCCCCGGGCTTCCTGGAATCAGCCGCTGGTCAGTTTCAGCAGCAGCTGAATCTGGATGCCAGTTCCGACTTAACTTAAATACAAACCTACAGTCCCTATCTTGTATGTAACCCGGGGACTGCCTGTAATTTTACTGAATGCAGTAGAGCTACATAAGGCCTGCACCATCTGTACTTTTCTAACCTTTAGCACGAAGGCTTTCCCATTCACTACATCTTTATTACTGATATCTATATTGATACTAACTTGCATGGGCCACACACCCTGCCTAAGAGATTAAAATCCACTGTCAGTAGCAGAGAAAGCACTCTCTATTTACTGTGACATACCAACAATGTGCAAAAGTCATGACCAGAACATAAAAGGGTCTGTATTTTCAAAAGGTTGTAAAAATTAACAGCAACATTCACAAAGCTACTTTTAATGTGACAACTTCACTAATGAATTTATGCAAGTCCCTGTGAAACTGCAAGGCATGTACTATAACAGATTATCTAGAGAAACTAACATCTACTTAAAAAGTTTCAAAGTATCAAATCATCTTCTACACAAAACTATACTTCTTTACTAATTTAAGTTGAATATAGTGAGCACTTTAGTTACTTGATCCGTTCACTGTTAGTTACTATTCTTCTGAACAACATAATCAATGCATCAGTGTGTCTAACTTAACATGGAATCAGGCTGGCTGCTAAATCCTTTCTTGACATAGCTAACAGTTGCTTCCTCATTCCTTCCCCTGCAGTCCCAAATACTTTAAATACTTTTAAAAAACAGAATACAACAAATCTAAGCTGCAAAAGTGAGCCCGATGGTACCTCACATGCCAAAACAGGGTGAGTTTCCACAAAGAGAGGGTGGGGCAAATTCTGCTCTCCCACAGTGACACTGGCTGGCAAGGGCCACACGCCCTGCCCAAGAGATTAAAATCCACTGTCAGCAGCAGAGAAAGCGGCCTCTATTTACCGTCACATACCACCAGCTTGCAAAGGCCATGGTCGGAACGCGTTCCTCCTTCAAAATAGCCCTCTCCTCCACCGCCCAGCCGGAGCGATTCTCAGCGCAGTCTCAGGGCGGTAGAGCCAAGCTGGGGCTGCCCCAGCTGCTGGCGCTTTGGCACTGGCTGCGGGGCGGAGCTGGAGCTCCAGGGCAGGAGCAGACAGAGGAGGGGCGGGCGGGCGAGGCCGCGCCCTCCCAGTCAGTCCTCGGTGCTTTAGGAACAGCGGGACAGTCCGCAACACGCCCCACTGCAGCCCGCCTGCCCCGCAGCAGCCCTGGGGAAAGGGCAGCCCGGCCTGGAGCGCCCTCCCTGCCTTCTGGGGGACTAGGGCGCTGCGCGTCCCTTCCCCCCTGCACCGGGCCTGCGCTGGGCTCTTCCCTTCCCACCGCTCTGCCAGGCCCCTGGGCTGTCACCACACCCTCCCCACAGACCGCAGCGGGGCTGGCAACCTCTCCCCCCCCGCCACCGCCGCCCATACACGCCCGTGGCCGCAAGAGGACTGAGCCGGACAGTCCCCTTCCCCCCTTGCGGGGCGCTGGCGCATTCCTCTGGCCTGGCACGCGCAGCAGGCAGCAAGCCCCGCTGGCACCCCAAGCCCGGGCGCGGAGCTCTGGGCGCCGCCCTAGCCCGCGCCCTCGCTCCCACACTTACCGCTCTGCTCCCCTTGCCTGGAGCCCCCGCAGGCTTGGAGGAGGGCGGCTTCTTCCCTTTACTTGGCTGAGACATGGCCGCGGCGGCTCAGTGCTCGGCGCCTCTCTGCGCAGTGTTTACGGGGCGCTGCGAGGGGCAGGGCGAGGGGGGCAGGTTACATGTAACTGTGAAGCAGCTTTTCCGATGCACCCAGAGCCAACTAGGCTGAAACCCAACAAGTCCCTCCTCTTCCTGCAGCTTCGGCTGCTATGACCAGCTGCTCTAACTGCACCAGTCCTCTGTCCCGGCTCATCCCCGCTAAACCTCTGCGCAGTGTTTACGGGGCGCTGCGAGGGGCAGGGCGAGGGGGGCAGGTTACATGTAACTGTGAAGCAGCTTTTCCGATGCACCCAGAGCCAACTAGGCTGAAACCCAACAAGTCCCTCCTCTTCCTGCAGCTTCGGCTGCTATGACCAGCTGCTCTAACTGCACCAGTCCTCTGTCCCGGCTCATCCCCGCTAAACTCAGTGTTTGTTGAGAAGGAGGGGACACCTGACTGGAAGAGGCTTGGGGGTGGTTTTGCTGCTTGCTGGGGCATACCTTGCTGGCTTACTTGCAGAATGCGGCCTGGGCGTAGCCCTTTTGGCGCTCAGAGCTGAGCTCGGATTTATGTTCCTTTTGGTGATAAGAAAGTATAGGGGAGGAAGCCATAAAATTCAAATCCGTAACAGAATAGTTTCAAGAGGGGTTTGGATCAGACCCAGAATTTTGGTTTGGGCCTATCCTGTCATTGCTATTGGCTCCATGTAACAAAATTGGTTGCCTGAAAAAAATAGCCATCACACATTTATTTCTCCTGTCAGTTTTGTGGTTTTAGGAAGTAAAATAACTTAAAATGTGAGCAAACCTGGATCTTTACCCAAAACGCAAGCCAAGTTTTAACTTTTTTCCCCCCGAGGTTTTAAGAAGAACATTGGAAAAGGTTATCATGTTAGGTTTATGTCTCTTGTGCTCTTCCTGAATGTGGCTGCAAGTGGAAATATCAAAAGCAGACTAGAGATTCGTGAGATTCTAGCTGAAGTTTTTCCTCATATTCATTTCAGTAAGCATCCACACTTGAAGCCTACTTCTGAAGAGGTGCTTGAGCCATTCACAACTTTTTTCTTGGAATCATGCCTCTAATTGTTGTTCAAGCCTTGCTGAATTTAGCTCAGTACTTGTTCCAGAAAGGATTTTATGTTCTTGTAACTCAAAATCATCAATCACTAATCTGTTAAATTTCCATATCAATGAATGCAAAAAAGTTCATTCTATCTATTTATCAATCTATCTATCTATTTTTCTGGTCAGTATAGTTTTAATGGGTCTGAGCAATATCCTGCAACATACAAAACAACAAAACCTTTCTTTTTCTTATTAAAAAGAAACTATTAGGTTTCAAATGTATATATTACATTTTTAACTGTTGCTGCTACAACTTATATTTATTAGATCTGAAAGAATTTTTGAAATCTAATTTTAAAATGTAAATTCTAAATGCAAACCCTTATGTAGAAGGCTGGGCAGTACATCAGCAACTTTTCTTAGAGGAGAAACAACTTATGGTCACTCAAAACTCCAGCATGCCCATTTGGCTCTGATCCAAAGTCAGGGCATCATTTGTGACTCTGAATGCATGAACACCACCCAAAAATAAGAATTTAATTGAGTCTAGAATGTGAAAAGGTGTACGTGGAAATGAAAATCCATCACTTTAATTATTACCTTCCAAAATAAAGGGAGATTAAAGATATAAGTTTAATGGGCTAGCATATATGTACGCAGCTTGAGTAAAATAGATGGCTACGTCTACACTGGCCCCTTTTCCGGAAGGGGCATGTAAATTTCACTAGTCGTCGTAGGGAAATCCGCGGGGGATTTAAATATCCCCCGCGGCATTTAAATAAAAATGTCCGCCGCTTTTTTCCGGCTTTTAAAAAAGCCGGAAAAGAGCGTCTAGACTGGCCCCGATCCTCCGGAAAAAGTGCCCTTTTCCGGAGGCTCTTATTCCTACTTCAAAGTAGGCGGCGGACATTTTTATTTAAATGCCGCGGGGGATATTTAAATCCCCCGCGGATTTCCCTACGACGACTAGTGAAATTTACATGCCCCTTCCGGAAAAGGGGCCAGTGTAGACATAGCCGATGTGTTCTTGGGGAACTCTAGGCTATTGGAGCAGTAGCAATGCCTCTCTATTTTCCCATGATTAAACTTTGTACAGTAGACCAGGACTAGGTATGCCTCTCTACCACATTATAACAGCACCAGTTTCACCAGCATTCAGGACTTTCCACAGCTTTCACATGGGCTCAAGGATTTGGCCCAAAGCAAGACATTTCCTGCCATGGGGGCAGGGGATTGGACTCGATGACCTCTCGAGGTCCCTTCCAGTCCTAGTATTCTATGATTCTATGATTTCACTGGGTCTGGCAATAACAGCAACATTGTCCCACTTTAAGCTGTAAACAGCCAAGATGGGAAATGGTCATTCCTGAGAAGTGGCTTGTCTTGAAGAGCTCAGAAATGCATAACCATTCTTCCAGGAAACCATACTGATTCTAACTGAGTCTGGGGGTTATAGAGACCAGTCCATCAGGAACTCAAAGTTTTCTATTCTGAAGAAGCAATCAGAGCAACTGGCATAACATTCCTCAAAGATTGTAGCAATTTGGATGTAATTAGTAATTTGGGAGGAAGTGGGAAAAATCTATTCCAATTGTTTAAGTGAGTTTTGTTCTGTTATATTGCTATTCAGTTTCAAATAGGAAGAAAAATATTTACATTAAAATGAAATTGTGTATTACATTCTTATTAATACATATGTAATATTAAATATAGCTTATCTAAGTTTATTCTGGGAGAAGTCGACAATTATTGTAGATTTCAAAATACTGAATATATTTAAGCATATTAATACTTAAGATAAATATATGAAATAATTGTGGTTGTCTTGTATAATTGCAATGATTTAATGTAAAACTTCATAAATTTATCTTTTTGCTTTGAAACTTTTTACATTTCCAAGAGAATTTTGATTGTACTATAAACCTGCTTGCAAAAGACAGATACAGAAATTAAAAGTACTCTGAGGGCCTGATTCTGATCTCACTTACCCATGTGTGTAACTAACTAGAGATGTGTCAAAGCATGTGTGTATAAAATAATTGTACAAAGGTAACTGCTATAAAGATGAGTGCATGTGTGAGATACAGAGGAGAATGGAAGGTTGTGGGGCTAGTTTAATATGAAAGTTTAGCAAGTGCCTTTTGTGTTTTAATTTTAAAAATAATCCCTTGGGTCTCACCAACAGGTCGGACAGATTGTACTGCATTCCTGAGGCTGCAGGACATGGGATACTCCCTGCTGACACTTTGGCAGAAAAAGAAGGAAGCCTAAGTACCACTCCTTTAATTGTGCTGCCCTGATGACAGTCATCTGAGCTCAGAGACAGAAATTAGGAAGCAAACTATCAGCAGCATTCATGATTAGACAAAAATATGTGTGAAAAACACAATAATTTGGGTCTCAATTGATCCTGCCATGTGCTCAACTCTCAGGTCCTAATCCAGAGGCAGTGTTAGCCCATTGGGTACCCTAAGCAGGAATATTTTGGCTTCCCCAGTAATAAACAATAATTCATAATAATTAATAAAGTGAATAGCAGGCACCCTTGAGCTGCTCAGGGCCCTAATTAGTCACTTAGTCTGTTTATGCTAATTCTGGCTCTGCCTTGATCCATCAAATCACTCAGGCTATGTCTACACTGCACACTTATTTTGATTAACTTACATTATTTCAAAATAAAAGAGTGTGCATCTACATAGCAAGCCTGTTATTTCAAAATGATTTCGAAATAATGGGCTTCTTACCCTGACTTCTGTAACCCTCATTTTACGATGAGTAAAGGAAGTTGAAGGAAGAGTATTCTATGCAAACAACACCAAAAGTCAAGTTAAGGTACATAGCTGAAGTTGCATATCTTAACTTGACTTTAGCCCTCAGCTTAGATATACCCTCAAGCTCGTGCTTACATAAGAACAGCCATATAGAGTCAAACCAATGTTCTGTGTAGCCCAATATCCGATTTTCTGATAGTGGGCAGTGCCTGGTGCTTCAGAGAGGATGAACAGAACAGGCCAATTGTTGAACGATCCATCCCCTATTGTCCAGTCCAAATTGCTGCCAGTCAGAGGTTTAGAGAGATCTAGAACATGGGGTTGAAGCCCTGACCATCTTGGCTAATAACTGTTGATGGATCCATCTTCCAGCACTTCATCTAATTTTTTTTCACCCAGTGATAATTTCAGCCTTCACAACATCCATATGAAGAGGGATTAGAAAGATTGGAACTATGCTGATTGGAAAAGAGATGACTACAGAGAGCTATGATAAAGGCCAAGTACAAGGAAGTGAATAAGGAAATGTTATTTACATCTTCATATAACCCAAGAACCAGGGGTTAGTTATTGAAATTAATAGGTAGGAGGTTTAACAGCCTGTGATTGCCAGGATCACCACTGAAGCATTTTCTAAAAAAAATTATGTTACGTTAACTATTCTCCAGTTTTCTGGTACAGAAGTTTATTTAATAATTCTACAATTTTTTATTTGAGTTCTTTCAGAACTTGTGTGAATGACTTATTGTTTTGTTTATCAGTTACTTAGCTTAAGTATGTAATGGTCCCACTGAAAGGTTAATTAGGCACATAAATAAAATTTGAAATATCTCTCAGATAAATACTAAGCCAGTAACTCTAAGAGGTTTCACAATAGTTGCAGATTTATAGTGTTCCTAAATTAGAGTGTGTGTTAAGAATTCTTAAATGTCTAACACAAACAAGTGTTTTGTGAATACCAAACATCCACATCTGTATTTAAGTGTGTGTCAAAACTTGGACAACTGAAAAATGAGTATAATTCTAATTACAAATTTGGAGGTTATTTCTGAAAAATTGATCCTGAAAGCCTCAAAAACAACGTATGCAGCTGCTAAAATTTCCAGTAAGAAAGGTACCTAAAAGGTATCAGCTACCAATATTGTAGTCAACATGCTTTTTGGCACACCTTCACATGTCCTGTGTTCTTGATCTTATAGGAATAAATACTGTGCATGCATAGACACATTGAATTATGACGAAGATTATTTTCTGTCAGCACATTTCCATCTCGATGTCATCTCAATTTGTGGATGTGTTCCACAAGCCAGTGTATGTATCAGTGCAACCATCAGTTAGCAGGTAAAGCAATTCAATGCTCATTCACCTTAAGTAATGGAAGAAAGTACTATATAACCTTGTGGCTACTAGTCTTTATTTTTTCTAATGTAACTTATTCATCCACTGGAGTGTAAGTGCATAAGAGCATTTATGTGCCAATACATTTTCATCCATAACCTTACTTCTTTGGTATAGTACAAAATACAAACTGATACTAGATAAATGCTTTTTCAGAATGAGGAAATTGAATGGTAAC